TAACATGATCATTATAAAGATTATTATAACGACAAAACACATTCACTGACATATATTGGAGAATCGGAATATCAGATAGTTCATGATATAGTTAATACGTTTCTGAATATTTTGAATCAAAAAGGAAAAACTTAATAAAAGGAATACATCTGTCATACAACACTATTGTGGCTGCTGTGTGTCACGTGACAAGCATGGAAATAATAAGGTGATATGTTCTAAAATAACGTTCACCTTAAAAAGCTCACGCTGGGGGCTCAGGATAATGGAGAATGGGCTATTCTGTACTGTAATGTCAATGTGCCATGCAAAGAAAAGTGATTAATTCAAACTTCACACATAGCCTGATCTATGTAGTATATAGTCTCAAATATACTGTATAATCAAACTATCATAATAGGTAACACAATATTTTGATGGTATAAATAGAAATTATATAAGCTTTGTAGCTTTGCAACTACATGTCAACTAACTGTCATTTGAGTATTAGTGGACTGTTTGCTTAATATCTGCTAACACTTTATTGTGATAATCCCCAAACAGACATTCTATTGACTATAAGTTACTTTGCAACTACATGTCAACTTATTCTACTAACCCGAAGCCTAACCTTACAGTCTTCATACAGTCTACCAATATTCTAATGAGAGTTAGTTGACATGTAATTGCAAAGTTACTTACAGTTAGTAGAATGTCTAAACTGAACCATCAAAAATTGAAATAGAATTATTTAAACTTAATTGGAATTTAAAAAAAAAAACTAATACAAATGACAAATTAAACAAAAAAATAAATGAAAACTTAAAATAAAGCTAATTCAAAATAGTAATACAAAGTATAGTAGTATATAAATAATGTTAATATAGCAAATCTGACCTTCCTTTCACAGACTTTGAACTCAAAGAAAAAGCAAAAAAGAAAAACTGTTTTTATTTCATCTCTTACATCCAGCAAACAAACAGTGGAACAAGCTTTCAACTGGTTTTAGCAGCCCAGCCCAGAGGGATTGAGGCAATGCTGTCGGTGGTGTTTGCTTCCTTGTGCCGGGGTGGGCCGCCGCTCTTTATTGCGACTCTCTTTCCTTGTGGCAGGTCGGTGTGGGCAGAACACAAGCCTCAGCGCTCTGTGTACATGCTAAACATCACTGTGGCTTGAGCCTGCGGCCTCCAACATGGCCGTAAAGAGCCAGCACACACAGATGTGACAGCAGGCAATGAGCCATGACAGTGTTGTCCCTGTGCGGTAAATAGACACAGGCCAATCGCAATGGCAAATGTAAATCCTTGACTTTCCCTCATGGTTTTTAAACCTGCTTTCAATGATCTGGACTTTTCTGAACAATTATAGTGGCGTTTGATGTTCATAAGAGAAACTCTGCAGCTTTTATAGCCTGTTTAATGGCCTTTAAGAGTGAAGTGTTGTGCTTTTCCTGTGAGGATTGAGGTGAATGGTGGATCAGTCGGCAGTAGTTCAGGCTGGGATTCTGAACACGAGCACACACGCACAGTGTGAGTACTTAAAATGCCAACGGTTGTTAAGTGGTCCCATATTTATTCTCAATCTGCATTTCATTTCTGAAGCAATTGGATCCATGTTTGTGAGTGGACGGAATCCCCATTAAAAGTGGTTGCAAGCTTTGGTGGACCAGTCGGATTGCTCTTAATCCACAATTACTCATTCCAAATGTAAAACAGCTTTTTTTGTTTGGCCAGTATATGGCTTGTCTCTGATCGGTTCACAAGAAATTTATTTGTTGAAACTAGTTTGACTCATTCTGTTCCGAGTCTCACGCACACATCAGGATCAATAAAGACAAATGCCATTGTAAACCACAGTCGTGCTGAAGGGAACAGTTTTACGCTTCCCAAGTATTGCTTTAGTTAGCAAGTATCTAAGATCTACTATGGGTTTGTATATAATGACGGTTCTAAGTGGAACCAATACACCACAAGAGAAAGGGTTAGGCCAATAAGGCAGAATCAGAAATGAATCATCCCTGAATATTAATGCTGACATGCATCTCTTAACAGCAGCCTCATAGTTATGAAATTGTTTCGGTTAACTGTCATTCGTATTTATTTGTTTTTACTGGTAAATGTAGATGCTTGTCTATAGAGAAACGTCAAAACATTTGTGAGGGAAGAGTTTTCTTCCCGGCATGTTTGGATGAATGTCGCTTTGAGGACTTGTGTGTTGAAAGTTTGTTTCGTTGGGTTTGGAGGATCCTCTGTAGAGTTAAAGTGAGTGTGTGTGTTGTATGCTTGTCCTCTATCTTTATGTTGGACATGACCTGACTTTGCACTGTTTAAAGTAATAGTGCATTATGGGCCAGGAAGCCGGAATCACAGATTTTGTTTAGATGTACAGTATGTATCTTAGGTTATTGGAGAAATACACTCTTCCATGTTTGTTTACATTGTTAGTTGTTATGTGAGTAGTGGACATCCATCCGTCCTTCGATCCATCCACCAATTCCATCCCAGGGATGGCCTACTTCGGTCCTGGGGGACCACTATCCTGCAGAGTTTAGCTCCAACCCTAATCAAACACACCTGAACAACCTAATCAAAGGCCCTGTCCCAAATTGCACACTTCATGCACTTACGGTCTTGTGGGCTTACAATGGCCGGCGTGTGCGCGTGATCGTGAAGACCACGAGACCTTTGGGTGTTTCATTTGTCATTTTAGGTTTCAGAACCTTTGCGGTCAATATGCGCCCTCAATGCGCACTTTTGCCGAGTCCACACTGAAGCAAGCTTAGCTGCAGACTTCTTCCTGACAGTTAAAGCGGCATTATGTCGCAAAAGTACGGACTCGTAGGAAGACTGCAAGTGTTTAGGGTGCCATTTGGGATAGGGCCAATGTCTTCAGGAGTACTAGAACACACTAGCTACAGGGGGTTTTATCAGGTTGGAGCGAAACTCTGCAGGACAGTGGCCCTCCAGGACCGAAGTTGCCCATCCATGTGTTGGTTGTTTGGATGGATGGATGGATGTATGGATGGATGGAAAGTCCAGTACACTTTTTACACCGAATGAAAATGTGCAAAAAGTATATGTAGGATATTATTTATAAAAGTAATTGGTTCATGTAACGTCCATATAAAAAAAAACATTGTAATGTTTTCATGTGGTTTAAAAGTTATTTTGAATGTAGAGGTCAACATCTTGAGGCTTTAAATTAATAAAGCCTCTAGAAAATAAAATAAACAGTTTAGAAGCTGAGACACACAACCAGTCTTGATAGTGGTTTATTATGTTGATTTCTCTGCTGCCATAACCAGTGAAAAATTCATATTTTACCTCTCAATGCTGTTTCTTCCTGATTTTGATGTAAATATTTATTTAAAAAAACGTAATTTCTGAGAATACTGCAATGGAGAGTGGAAACAGTATAAACGCCTCTTAAGTATGAAGTATGAATGTGTCAACAAGCATAAACAAGGCATCACACACAGCTATGTGCTATATGGCATTCCTAATTTCATTTATTAAAAGCAATCAAATACCTTTATTTTTACAAATAAAAACATGATGCACAATATTTATTTATTTCAATACTTTCAGTCACAACTGCAATGGCTAGAAATATTGATAGGGATTATTTAGTAGTCTCTTATCCAAATCTACACCCATGAGGTATAGTGTATGTATAAGATTAAGAGGTTTAAAATGTTACTGAAACAAAAACCGATCCAACATGTTGCATTCTTACCCACCCTGTCTTTTAATTACACTTACTTCTCAAGTCCATCTGTTCTCCTTGTGGCATAGAGGATGTGTATGACAAATATTTGTTAAGCTACTGCAACCAAGACCAAATGCCGCATATGGTCTGGCAATAAATGTGATATGATCTAACGAGGTTTTGATTCATAACGTAATGCTGTCCCTTTGTACCAAACAAAATTCTTCATCTAATGCTTTAAGAAAGTTTACGTCCTTCACACTTGCTAGCTGCTTGCTAGTCTAATGTAGCTTTTTATTGACAGTGTTGCATCTGAAAGTTTAACTTTCCCTAAAATTGTTCTTTGCTCTTTCTCTATTCATTCTACTTGGGGCTTTGAACGCCTATCATTCACAAAGTTGTACATCCCTTATTTGTGCTAAGGTATATATGCTAATTTATTAAATAATTGGGCTAATTTAATGATGCTACCAGTAAGAACATAATATTTTAGTTTTGTTTAACATGTCTTACCTTGTGTAAATTCCCCAGATTTTCTCAGAGGACAACACAAAACCATGCAGTTGTCAGTAGTTAGGCTAACTGGCTAGCCTGCTAGCTAGGCTAAATGTTGTTTTTAAGCTCTTGACCTCTGATACCTAATACCGAATGTTACCTTTAATATGATGAAGAGGTTAAATAAGAATATTTATCATGTGTGTGTGTGTATGTGTGTGTGTGTGTGTGTGATGGCATATTTGGTTAAGTGTCCAGCTGTTACAACATTTAACATTTGTATGCTGTAAACCAGACTTGTGTTTGGAATAAAATCAGTGTTTGTTACGTTGCTGGGCAAGCATGTTCGCAATAAGCTAAATCATTACAAACCAATGTGAATTTGATTAATCTATTGTTTGTATATCATCGGTTTGTTCTCCATAGTCTTGAATTGAAAGGCTGTAGTCTTAATTCCCCCAAACCGCAAGTTTATTATCATGAAATACAGTTATAGTAGGATCTCTATGCTGCCCGTCGTCATCCGTTCTCGGATCCCTTGAGTTTATTGATTGTTACTTCAAAATCCTTTAACCACTACTGAGCGTCTAGCGCAGTGTTCACAAATAAAAGTTCAGTCCTTGCCGCCATCCAGACTTTCATCCCAAAGAACTGTGGTTTTCAGTGTTTTTCTAATTTCTCTTAAAAAAATAATTGGCCCTCATTATAACATATATGGCACAGTTTTGTAACCATAAGTAGTTTGTAAAAAAGGAGTGAAATTCAAAGCTAATGTGACTGTACGGTTTCTTGTGTGTGTGTGTGTGTGTGTGCTGTAGCGTCACCTTGTCTGGGCATCGGATGTGAAGCCGATCAGAGGCACGAGCCCCCAGACACCCAGACGTGCTCTGCAACTCCAGGACTCGCTTTTCTCCAAAGAACTGGAGAACATGGGCAAACATCTTGCCGGTAGGTTTTTAACACGCAGACACCCACACACATATAAAACAGGCCACCTTTCCATTACAGTCTGACACTGTCAAAGGCCACACATGTGAAAATCTGCATGCGAACACAAGGATGAAGGCGTCTGATTGGCTAATTGAAAGCTGATCCACCTATTAAAATGTTGTGGAAAATGGTGACCATCTTTGATTCATTTAACAATGCCACCGCTGCACTAGCTTGTTAGCATCGCTGTGAAGTGACAAATATCTGTCTGTAGATGATCAAACTCAGCCGGTGGTTTGATCTCGCAGGCCACTGTTAGACGACGTGTGTGTGTGTGTGTGTGTGTGTGTGTGTGTGTGTGTGTGTGTGTGTGTGTGTGTGCGCAACACTCGTTCGTTTGATAACCGCTTGAAAGCATTGGGCAAAACCAAAGGCACAAACAGCACAAAAACTCCAACATGTGTCGCACAGTTGTTTGTTTACGCATGTACTGTTTTTTTTTATTTCGATTCACTGTCGTACACTGAAAACATTTGAAACATATTAAGTATTTAAGAAGGGCACTTTCACTAACTCATCAGGGCAACAGCTGTGTGTGTGTGGATGTGGGAGGTTGACATTTAAACACAAAGTTAACAACCAAACTAAACACGAACTTGTAGCTTTTGCACGCATATTTGGCTAATCGGAAAATAATACCATTGTAACCTTAAATTTGTGAATTCACTATTTTATTTCGCTATTTGTTCATTCATTGTTTTATTTTTGTTTGAAAAAAAGATTGAAACCTGATTAAAACATTAATAATCTATTTAGAAATGTTTTTCATATATTTTCATTTGAATTGTGCTAAATGTTATATTGTCAGAAGGTTATTTTGTGCCCCTGCCCCTTTAAGGCAGGACACGCTTTGGAAAAAAAGAAAAAAAAGAAAAGCGAGTTGTATATGAGTTAGCCGGCTGTTCATGCTGTTATGCCGATCATTCCCATTAAAGAAAGAAACGTGAATTGTTTTATTTTTGTTACCCACAGTGAAAAAACTGGAGTGTTCGCAGATACGGTCTCAGAGAACAATGGTTACATAATTGATTTAGATTTTTCACCTAGAACTGTTAATTCAACGTGATATTCAAAATAGTGTCATGAGCCCAGATTCATTTGTAAATTCCCTAACAGGAAATACGAAAACGTGTCCAGTCCTTGGACGGATTTCTTTTGAATACTAAAGACATTTTTGTAAAAAACTCACAATGATGACATGTCTTTAAATGTCCTTTGTTTATGTTTTTTGTCTTATTAATATGTATGTGTCACAGTTATGTTCAGTTGGACTTGGGCTGAATCTGAAATCGCCCCCTATAGCCTCAAATAGGGCGCTATTTGAGGGGACAGCCATTTGTAGTGGTGTCCGAAACCATAGTGAACATTATTGAGTGCACTCATTCAATCCCACATTGCACTGCAATATCGAGTGTACAACAGATGTATGCTCAACGGCTGTCCGAATTCGCTCACTCGTTTTCATTCACTCCTTCAAGTGGGTTTAGGGGGCGATTTCAGATTCAGCCTTGGTTTTCTGTACTTTTTCCCTGCCTGAGTTTGTTGTCATAGTGACCTAGTTAAGTTTATCATTCCATTCAGCTCTGCACCTCATTATCTCTTGTATATTGTTCTCCCTGTTACAGTTTGAGTTTGTCTGGCCTCGTCTATATTACGACTTGTGAGTAAGCTATTCTGTGTTCCTGAGTATTATATTGAGATTAAAGACTTTTGATTCTTCATCTTCGCCCTCGTGCGTGTATTCTACTACAATACTACAAGTCGTGACAGAATGCAACTAATTGAATTAAAAGAATAAAGAAGGGCATACCATTTTAAAATTGAACCGCCATACTTTATTACATGTACAACATACATATATACACAGTCAACATTTGAAGTGGATCAAAAAAGTTCATCAAAATTGTCCTAAGACAAGAACGGGTGTTGTTCAAAATTCATGTATAACTTTGATGAAAGGTTTTGATCCACTTCAAATGTTGACTATTGTATTTTGAATTACTTGTGATAACAAATAAAAGTATTGTTCTCACATTTTTCACTGTAAAGAGATAGGGCTACAGTACATGTACATCTGAACAAAGCCATCCCCATAAGGCCAGGCATTAGGCTCATTCAACAACCTAATTTACCTCTTTCATGCTTTTATTAGCTGTTAATGTTCTCCGTGTTGAAAGCCAGGCTTCTTCTTTTATCTCATTATTACCTCAATTATGTGGTCAGCTTAATCCTCAGATTCCTTTTTAATTTACGATCAGGCTGCATTGTTTAGTTTTAGGAATTTTAAAAAGCTTGATATTTGACTTGTGCTCAAAGCACAACTGTTTTTTAATGGCAGAGAAAAGCTATCCACTTTTGGATAAATAAAACATCACTTTCAGCTAGCTGGAATTCCTCAGATCTCTCTCTCTCTCTTCCTCTGTAAGATGTGAACACTGTCGATATGTAGGGAGAAAGAGTCGGGAATCAAAAAGGTTGCATATGTTCTAAATGATGGGTTTGCGTGCTTGCGGGTTGTAGCCTTGTGGGAATGGGAAACGCATTTGCTTTTTTGACCAAGAGCTGTTTATAATAGATTAGATGTGCTGCTTCTTGTTAACTCTCTAAAGTCATCCCTCCTTCTCTTTGGCTCTTTTTTAGTGTTAGGGTCACTATATATGCTACTGTATAATTTCCTTCATCACTAGCTTCATATTGTAGGACATAGACAAGACTGAATATAATAAGAGCTAAATAATGAATATAATAAATAGTGCTAAATAATGAAACAAGTTTTTCAGTAAATGGATGATAATTATAGGCTATAGTATGTCACATGGTACAAGTAGGAGCTCTCAGACAGCTCCCATCTCACAAGCATTAATTACGAGCGCTATGATGACGTGAATGCTTTTTACAAGTTGAAATAAATTTGTAATTATGGTCATTTCAACATGGCGTGAACGCACCTTAATTCATAATCAAGTGTATGTACTCAACTACGTACTCTTATAAATATCATGTGGGAAACTTTAAACACTAACACACAAAGACGTTTTTCATTTATTTTGTTTTCATCGTCTTTATTTGGAATGGTTTGCCATCATCACAAATGATTTGTGCCTGTATAATATTTTCACAACAAATCCTTTCCGTCACATATGTGTTTAGGTGAGAAATTGCTAGAACAAGTTCCTGTATCCTGTTTAAATGGAACGACTGGGGGGTGTAATTACTTATGGCTGACTACAGACAAAACAATCTAATTATCCTTTTACACAATTAGCTGTATCATATATCACAACAATCTGGAATAGTTTCCGTAATGGGAATTAATTACAAGAACTGTGTTAGCCAAAATGACATAGAAATGGTATTTAGATACATTGTACATTAGTTACCTGGTCATCTGACATGTGTTTCATATTTTACAGTGGAAAATCATGATGTTTCATTGGGAGAAAGAACTGTTTGCTTACAATTTAGGTAGTCAAGGTTTCCGAAACACATATCAAACTTGGACATACTATTTATAATGTGTCACATGTTATTTCCTCAGTATCCCCAATTCCTCACAGACTGAACTCTGGTTGATGGGTCCAGATGTTCCATTTGAAAATATGCAACAGACTTTCATAAACAAAAATATTTGACTTGCTACCAAGTAAACAAATATATTGACATGAAGCAGGCCATATTAAATCGCTCTTCAATTGCCATTGAATTTATACTTTAAAGCTGACAATAAACACTGCTGCCATGACTGTTAAAAGACCTCAGCAAAACTTCAGGAAATTGTTTTGGTGGTTTATTAACGGGAATCTATGAGTGGTTAGACAATGTCAATACGCTGATGTTTTTTAGTGTCTATTTGAATCACACACTAAAAATGGGTGTACAACAGTGTTGCGAAATAAGTGTGTGTGAGTGAAGTTTGCATTGATGCATTTAGTCATGTCCCATATAACCTGTTACTGAAATGTTTACAAGCCATGACTATTATTGTTCCCTAGTTAGTGATTGTTTGCTTTTATTGTCTTGATTTCTTTAGAGGTGGAGAAGGACTTGGCCAAGCTGGCAGAGCAAGGGAAGCTGAACCGAAGTCCAAACAGCCCTCATAGGAGTTTGCTTTTAACCCCCCTCTTCCACACCACCAACACTCTGCCTGTGCTCGGACAGGCGTCCAGACCACAGTCTCCCAGCAGCCTTTCCACAAAGACCACAGGCCTGCCCCTTCACAACACTAAGCCCACAAGCCTAGTCATGGGCCGGACATCTCCCAGCAACCCCAGCAGCCGTGCCCAGACCCCTAGTGGAGCACGGACACCAAGCAGACCTTTGACCCCCAATAGTCTCATGATGCGCTCGTTGACTACCGGAAGTCATGGAAACACAGAACGCTTGTACGGGCGCTCTAGAAGTAGACCTGTCACGCCGACAGGACAGATAACCAGACCAATCCTCACACCGCCAGGCCTGAGCACTACTGATTTATATGGAGGTCTATGGAGCACACTGACAGAGGTACACACACATATTGTGTTTTCATGTTTTATGGGGACTTTTCATAGACAAAACTAATTTTATACTGTACAAACTCTAAATTCTATCCCAGAAGCTAACCATAAACTCGTTTTCAAAAAATGTAACATGTCATCACTTAGTATGATTATACTTTCATCATGGCATGGGGACCAAAAAATATCCCCACAATGACAAGGATTTCGGATATTGCTGTCTTTGTGGGGATATTTTGTCCCTATAACGTAGGGTTTACCAGGACCCCCCCATCCCCTCCCCATCACACACACACACACAATTATAATCACATAAATACAATGGTTCAAAAGTTTGGGATCAGTAAGATTTTTTTTCTATAAGAAGTCTCTTATGCTCACCAAAATTTATTTGATTAAAAAAAACAGTAATATTGTGAAATACTACAATTTAAAGTAAAAAAAAATAATTACAATTACTAACCTCTACATTAAAAAAAAACAAATATGCAGTACAATATTTCTTTAGTCTTGTTCTGCATGTTTTTATGTGCTAAATATTCTGATTTGGTGTGAAAATGCCTGTAAACAAGCCTCTTACTGCTTGAAAACTAAGGTCTCATTATATGTAGACATTGAGAAAAGGCAAAGCTCTACATTTGGAAACCCTGTAAACCTCAGGTCAATGAGTTCAGAATCACACACACTCACTGTTGTTGTTCTGGTTAGTTTGTAAAAGCTGTAGGCGGTCTAGTATTCTATTGTCCATGTCTGACTATGGCCTATTCATCTTATGCTCGATTGAGATTAAGCAATATAATATAAGAGGATCCACTGAAAACTAAAGGACAGATTTACAGATTACTACTCATGGTATGAAAAAAGTAGTCTGGCATTTCTGGGTTTCTGCTCTCTTTTTCTTTTCTTTTTTTGTGTTAGTTAGTTGGTTAATAATCCAAAGCGCCTTTTAAAGTATTTAATAGCCACAAACAGGAATCATATTGTTAGCTCATATTCTTATGACTGATGAGATTATGAAAACATAAAAGCACTGATCTTGCTCTGATTCCACCCACCTGCATGGTCCCACGGCTGTTATAGTAGTCCAGCTCTCGAATAAGAAAAAGAAATATCCACCTGTACATCTCATTCAGTTGAGAATGGGATCCACAGGAAAGGATGTCAGATGATTTGTCCTTCTTCTCTATTTTCCTATAAGCGATTTAGCACCTAAATGCGGCGTAGATGTATGAGCGCTTCCTGTCTGGCCTGTGCAGCGATACCTTTAATGCTGAAAAATAAGAACACATAAAAGTCTTTAGAAGGGAACAGGGGCAATTTATTTATTAGAGGTTGGCTCAGAGGATTCGACCCAGAGGTGTACTTATTTCAAAAGAAAATAAAAACATCTGTAGAACGAATGGGCCTGACATGCACATTTACCAGCTCTTTACGTCTTGGGTTTCTAGTTCACTGGGGATTTCATTGCTTTTCAACTGCCACCTTTCTGCACAGCACAGGCAACAGTGGTGTTCACTGATACATTACAACACTTCCTGAATATTGGAGCAAATTGATGTGTGAAGTTGATGTGTGTTAGCTATGTAATATGTTACCTGTTAATATGTAATAGGTAACATATTAGGACAATTAAATCCAGACTTAAATTATTTGCATTTATTAACAAAATATCAAAATATATCAATTTGTCATTATGATTTATATCTCTGGTTCTATTCAGGATGAGTTTTACCAGCAGTTGCAGGCCGTCAGGAAGCCCTGGCGCATCCCTAGCGACACAGAGAGTGACTGTCTGGAACCACCTGAACAGGACAACTGTGAGTATTCCAAATCAGACCCCGTCCCATTCAGTGACTATATAATGGCATAAAGATTCAAGGGGCAAATTCACTAAACCACTTTTATGTATTTCAGCTCAGTGTCCTATTTATGAACCTCCAGTTTAGATCCAGTTTAACCCATCCCTAAACGCAGCAGCAACAACAACAAAATATATATATAAAAATGAGGTATAAATCAGGCTCATTATAGATTTTGTTGACATGTTTATGCTGTCACCTGATTTGCATAAAGCCCCATTCACACCAAGAACGATAACTATATTAGCGTCCACACCAATGCACGATAACATTCTGTTCATCATAAGCTTTTAATGCGCAAGCTTTTGATTGGCTGTCAATGTTTTTATCAAATCATCTGCTAGAAAAAATCTTTATGAAAGTGAATCCAGTATTATCGTTTTTCTGTGTCATTATTGTTGTGGTGTGGACTTCCCTATTCTCATTGAATTAGAAAGATTTATTAAAACTTGATTGTTATAATTATCGTTATTTTCGTTTCCATCAAACCTTATCCATCCGTGATAAAAGTGCTCGAAACGGCTCTGGGGGGTTAATAAATGCCTTCTGAAGTGAAGCGATGCGTTCGAGTAAGAAAAATATCCATATTTAAAACTTTATCGACTAAAATAACTAGCTTCCGGCAGACGGCTGTACGCAAGTCGACCAATGCCAAAAGAGTAACCCTTGACGTGTGTGATGTAGGAGTAGCGTAAGATTTGACGCCTCTAGCGGTCAAACAGGGCTGGGCAACTGCGTTCGTCATCACGTTGTGCGTCTAGTTCAAGTGTTACTCTTTTTGCGCAAGTCGACATGCGTACGGCCGTCTGCCAAAAGGCTTGGAAGAGCCAGGACATTTTTTAATATAACTCCGATTGTGTTCGTCTGAAAGAAGAATGTCATATACACGTAGGATGGCTTGGGTGAGTAAATCATGGGCTAAATTTGTATTTATGGGTGAACTATCCCTTTAAGAAGTCTCATAATATCTTTGTTAGTTTAAAATATTTTTCAGATACAAATGATACATAGATTGAATTACATTAAATTCTTATGAACAGTGTACTTTTAAAAGTAGTGCATTACAAAATTTAATTACTTTCTAAAATAGTAACTAATTGCGTTACTTAGTTTATTGTTTGTTTTTTTTGGAAAGTAATGTGTTGCTCATCTTGGCTGGGCTTGTTTCATTGCTTTTTCTCATCTGGGCTGGGCTTTGCTTGTTGGTTTTTTTAATAACAAAAAAATGAATGTTCTATTTTGGGCAAATGTAAAGGCCCTTTGTCACCAAAAGTGAAATGAATAAGCCTCAGGATGAAGGAAATGTAAATTCATGTCTGTACAGTAGAAGGTGCAGCTCAAACAAACCTTTCATCTGGGCTGCCATTCTGGATTCCAGAAGAATAGAATGCAGGAGAAGAAAGTTCCACAATAAAAAAATTGTGGTTTAACTAAAGTTATTTTTGCTTATTAGTATGGTTGAACTGGATAATCGAAGGTCAACTGTAAAGACATTGATTAATAAAGTAAGATTAAATACAGTACATAAAGTATTTCATTGTTTTTAATCATTTTGAGGAATACTGAATCTGTGCAAATAAGATGAGTAAATTAATGCTCACATTTAGTGTAGAACTACAATAACCATCATCATGTTTACACACAACGCCTCTGCACTTACTCCCGATTTTTCTCAACATGGGGACAGGAGAGGTGTCAGTCAATAAATGGCTAAACAAAGTAAGTTGCGTTACTTATTTGAAAAAGTAACTCGGATATTTTCTTTTGAATTTAAAAGGAATCCGTTGCTTTACTAGTTACTTAAAGTAATCTGATTACGTAACTCATGTTACTTGTAATGCGTAACACTGCTCATGAATATAGTGAAATATGGATTGGCAAGTCTAAGACTCTGGCCTATTAATGACGATATTTGAGCTCTCGTCCCTTGGAAATAAATGTGTCAGGTTGAGAGAGCTACTTCCAAACAGCACTTTTATGGTTTCCCTGTCTCAAAGTCTCCACATACGCAATACTGCTGCATGTGTGGCTCGGGGGTTGAAAAACATCGTACACTTTAATTATGTTGATATGGTTTCATGAACATATCTTAGATCTCCATTCCAGTTGATGTCTGAAAGATTTAAGCACAGTTGGAATCATTAGAGGATTATTATTTGTCCAAATCACGGTCCGTCATCGCTAATAAATACCGCTGGCCTCATTTTTCACTCTTTGAACGTGACATGGCCAGATTCTCGGAGTCCCTCATGAGCCATTAGTCTGTTAATGACCTCAATATTGTAGCGTATCAAAGCTCCATCCCTGAGAGAGCATCTTTGAGTTCATGGATTATGCAAGAATGATTGTGATTTTTATCAGGATGAGGACAATTGTCTGTTACTTAATGTGATGAAGAGCTTTTTCATAATAACAGAACGTCAAGTGCAAAACAAAATGCTACATGTTACTATGGATTCTGTATCTTTTCCACTTAAAGTCAGAAGCACTTTTAGACAAATATTTGTTATGGATCTGGTATAATATTTCTTTGGTAAACAAATGATTTCCACATACGTTTGGAACACAAAATCGCAACGCCAGAGAAACGTCCAAAGATTGCTAGACAAGCAAAAAAATTGTACAAACAGTCCAAGTCCAGCTATCAAATGTAATGTAACTACACATGACAGGCAGCTCTATTTTGCCAAAAACATATCTTGCATAAAATAAGTATATTGTGCTAACAGTCTCTACAGGCATGCTTGCTGGAACTGTCTTGCCAGCCCAGTTATTTAAAGGAACATGAGGCACAGTCTGTTAGTGAGAACGCCTGGCATTGCCAACCACAGGACGTGACAAAATACCACTTGGCATTCGGAACATTTGCTGATTGGCTGCCACAGTGACTGTTGACGCTGTCTGTTGGAGTTTGGCCTGTGTTAACATAGGTTTCTGAATAGGCATCAAGTGCATGGCAAAGAACAAAATCCATAACAATTTCCTGTTATTGCAGAAACACCCGCAATGGGGTAACCACTAACCCTTAAAACATTTAAGTCAATGCTCCATTCATTTTTGAATTTCAGGCCTTTAACATAACGGCTCCATTTCCTAATTTGAACTGATAACTCTGGCTCATGATAAGTAGAGATGTCTGATTTCTCAAATTTAATATTTTAATTGTAAAATGTTTACATATTTTACTGTGACTGATCGGCAGGCACACGCGGAATCTATACGTAGAAACATGTGGAAGGGATGCAGAGTTGTTATCCACAACCTCCTCCTTTTGTGTAGTCATTTATTATATATTTTGGTTTGATTGTTAATGTATTCAGTTGCGTATGCCAAGGTCATTTCACTCGGTGGCCATCAATGAAGCTCCTCTCGGGACGCTATTTCAGTCATGCAAGTACAGCTCATTCAACATCAAATTCTCCAAAGCTGGTCACCAAGCTTACACTTAAATTCTTAAATTTGAAATCACCATATTTATAAATAAAAAATAAAAAAAGAAATTCATGCTGGACCAACCAATGCACACGTCTCAGAGTTTCTATCACAACTAGAGCTTCTAACAGCAATTGACCCTTCGCTAAGCCACGCCCGAAAACCGCCACTGGCCAATCGTATCTTAGCAACCGTAACTAGGCGCGGGAGGTCTGGCAAGCTTTCGAGCGAGGAGCGTTGTGTGCGTATGGATTGTGCAAATCTGATACCCGGTATCCTAAAAGTTTGGAATTGTTTTCCTTCCCGAAAAATCTAAAAGCCAAGGGGAGAAATGATGGGCGTGGATCAAGCAGTGTGTGAGACCCCGTTCACAACTATGTCGACAGGATTAACAAAAACACCTATTGCTTGGAAGTTAGAAATAATGACGGCTTTTTGTTCATTAAAGACAAGACGGAGGCTCGCTGATATACTTTAAAATATATTTAAGCATTTTGTTAATCGACGGCCTACTACCCCTGACTGAGTAACGTTAACTTTACACTAACACTAACTCCTGGTGTTAGTGTTATTCCACAAGATTTATGGATAAATCTGGATAAACTGTTTGATTTATAATTATTAGATTATTTTCACATTTCACTTACCGTACCCTGCTGTGCACGAACATAGCTGTTCCTCAATTTGTGTGTTTCCCATTTGAATGATCAGCGTATGAGGCGGTTGCTGTTTGCGCTGGGACTATGCTTTAGCTTCATTTTTTAAGAAATTATTCTCTAATCGGTTGCATATTTTGTCGTGGATATATATCCCTCGAATGCATACTGCAGTCCCTTTTGTCTTGCTCTCTCAGATATTTAACATGTTCACCAAAAATGACTAATTATCTCATTGGGAATGTCTGACACCAGTGCATACACACTGTAATAGACGTACCAGGCGCGAAAGCTTGACAGGCGTAGCAACAGTAACTAGGGAGGGCGGGGCTTAGCGAAGGGTCAATTGGCAATTGGCTCTTTTATTTAGAAGGCGGGACTTATTATGCCATTTTGCGCTTTGCACTTTCTCCCATTCATAGTAACGTGAGTGCACCGTCTTTGTATATCTAAAGTCTTTGGGTATGCCTTGAAACATTTAGCACATTTTACCATTTTTAGAATGGTAGCAGTTTTTCCGCCAAAATCAAGGCAGAAAATGTGGAAAACATTCACAAATTTCATTTGAAAATTCTGCTTTAGCTTACACTTCCGTTTGGGGCAGCACAACTGTTTTCAACATTGATCATAGTAAGAAATGTTTCATTAGCACCAAATCTGCATATTAGAATGATTTCTGAAGGATCATGTGACACTGATGACTGGAGTAATGATGCTGAAAATTCAGCTTTGCCATCACAGGAATAAATTACATTTTAAAATATATTCAAACAGAAAACGGCAACTATATTAATTTGTAATAATATTTCTCAATATTACTGTTTTTATTGTATTTTTGATCAAATAAATGTAGACTTCCTTCAAAGCCATCAAAAATCTTACCGACCCCAAACTTTTGAATGGTAAAATAATATATAATCAGTGATAACTGCTGGTGGTAAAATGACATTAAACTCACTTTTGTGACTCTTTTTGCTGCTGTTTGTCACTGTTTTTGGTATTCATGGTTCAAATGTTGATATCTCATTGTATTATTTTGGATTATATGTTTGAAAATGCTCAGCATGAAACCATTTACTAGCTTTCTTCTGTATTGTGGCTCTTTTTAGGTAATCCAAGTGGAGTGAGGGATGCCAGCAAGAGATCGGTGTTCTCAGGTAAGCATTCCAACACATCAGTCCAACATCCTCACAGACGGCCAATAATTGCCTTCGAATAAATCTTATGAATCTTAGACTATGACAAACGCCCGAAAATTTAGATTGTAGTCTTGCCGTATGCATACTCCAAAGACAAGAGAGAGTTAGAAACATTCAGTTGAAATACAGGTACAGTACTAGCTTGTCTATTTGATGATGTTATGGTATTTAGCATTCCTTCACATTAGGATTGTCCAAATAAAAATGACCAAAGAGTGGCTCAGCCCTCATTTATGCATTTGTTAGATATATATAGCACCTAGAATGCAATGTGATATCATTTTTATAACAGGTCTCTAGAGTCTGAGACTACATGAGGTCCCAGTGTTTTGGAAAGAGACCGTCCGATTGGTCATTGCTGTTGACTTAGCTGGGTGCCACTCGAGCATGTGGCAGTTATGACGAAAGTGTCTCCTCTGAGGTTTGACTTCTCGTGCCCAGCCGAGGTTTTACAGTTGGAGAGGGCAGACAAGCCTATACAGTCACATGTCAGCTTTGTGGTGGAACGGGGCTAACCGAACCAGAGCTGGGTGCCGATTCCTCTGACCTCATCCATACACACCCCCGTGAATGTGCAGCATGACATGGATCAGCTCATTTTTCCATTCTCACATTTATCTTTGACATGTTCAAATATTAAAGGCTGTTTTTATGGTAATTACCAAGGCTGTTATGCTTATTAGTGGTCATGTGGAACTGACGTCAGCCTCCAGGCAACTGATGTTTTTTGTCTTTGCTTTCTACAGGCTTGTAACGGTGTGTATGGAGGACACAGAGCCAATCAAACATTTATGCAATTTAAACGGGCATTCGAATAGTGCGAGTCAGCAAGAGACACTTATTTTTTTTATTTTGACCAGAGGAAAGATTGTGTACTTTTTCCACAGATGCCAATATTTCTTAGAAATAAAACCATTACAACCATTTGAAATTCTAGAATGTAATGTGTTTATCAGAAAAAGATAAGCCTGCACTTGAACTTTTTTGTCTGTTAGCATGCTTCTTGTCTGATCATAAACGTATTTATTGCTGCCTTGCATTAATAAACACAATTTATCACATGATGTGCCAAATCAATAGTTGATAAAGGGATTTTTGAAAAGCCTTTTCAATAAAAATCAACAAAACTGGACGTTTTGTGGCATTAGCAGAGTATTTTTTGAATGTTACAAATGTTCCTGTATGTGTAATGTTGGACATGCACAGCACTGCCCCTGCTGACCTCAGCATGACACTCTCTCATTCCCAACAGCATTGTGTGTCTACAACTGGAGAGGACACATTTCTAATGAACTTACTTTGACTTTTATACCCACAGAAATATATGTAGCCTGTTACACCTGTTATATCCTTGTATAATGCTAAATAAAAAGATTTGTATAAAGTTTGTCTGTATTTGTAAAGGTTTTCACATTTGTCCCCAATTGCTCAATCAGAATCAAGTTGTCCAGAGAGAACTCAATTCTGATTGGTCAGTCTCGCCATCCCGCGGACATCTTCGTTCATGGCAACACTGTATTTCAGACCTAAAAGCAACCGGTGCCATCTTGTGTCTTGAGGCCAGTTCACACCAAGAACGTTTGCTACAATGATAACACCAACGGGTGAGATAACTTTCTGTTTTTAAATGCGAAAGCTTTTTAATCTTGGGTGGATTCTGATTGCCTGTCAATGTTTTTAACATTCATCGGCTGAAAAAAAAAAAAAAATTCTAATGTTAGCATTTTTCTGTATTGTTATCTTAATAGTTGTTGTGTGGACTTTTCTATTCTCATATAATTAGAAATATTATTAACTGTATAGTTATCATTATAGTTATTGTCTTTGGTGTGAATGGGCCTTTAGTAATTGATAGTAGTAAAAATGATCTATAGTATTAATATAACTGCAATATTGTCGCAGTGTTTGTCTTGCTCCAATGCCGATTGTTTTGTACATGGTAATAGATCTTTTTTTTTTTCTTAAAGGAAGCTTTAAATAATATAAAGCTAAAATTATGAAATACTCTTCAAATCTCACATGCATCTCATCTCTTCAAATTTCATATGCACATATTGTAACAAACAAGATAATGTACTGTCAAGCAAAATGAACCCTGATTGATCAGGACTCGTGGATCTGAGCTTCTTCAGTCTTTGTATCTGATGAATCCTGAAATAGTCCAGGGCAAATTTGCTCAGCAGTTACTAAACTACACACACAGTGAGATATGGCAGACTCCCATCTGTTTTATTTTTGGCCATAAATTTCAGTGGAAAAGACCCATATCTCCTTCAAATCTCATTGGATTTTAACCCAGACCCAACTGTGTTTGAGATGTGACTCGATGGTGACATATTTCAAAACAACTGCACTTGTTTGACACTAACTGTAATCTCTGGAAATCTTTTCCTGCTTACGGTTGATTACACTTCACATTTTCCCCCATCAACATGACAAATGTTGTTTTCAAAGCTGACGCTACTGAGAAATCGCCAGCCCTCATTTTGTGGTTCATGCTTCAAGTGTTTCAAGTTGGTGTTAGTGATGGCATGCTTTTGCCACGGTAGACATCTCTACACTTAGATGTTTGTACAAATAAAAGTAACCGTTTGCATGGCTTCTTTTGAGTGTAATTCCTTAAATGTTTAACTTTAAACATCTTGAACTTAAAATCTGCAATATTTGAAACAATTACGTAAGATTTGAGTTGCATGAACTCTATGCAAGTTGTTCCTCATTTATAGGGTTTTAAAATGTTTAATCTGAAAATTCATGCATGACTTGAAAATGTTTGAATATGTTTTGGTTATGTCCGTTAATCTCACAATTCTGGAGGAAGGTCCAAAAGAGATTAGAGAATTATTTGAACCCTTATTTCTTCATCCTAGGTCTGGTACGCAATAACCTGACACTTGCACCAGGGGACACAACTCTTTCTCAGAAGTTGCTTTTCATCACCCGAAGATGTATTTTACTTCAATTCACCAGTGGTTTCAAGAGATTTACAGTATGATTCCATTTGAAAGAATTAGTCCATCACTTAAAGGGAATGTGGATACCGTGGATACTGTGGATATGTGGATACCATCAATTCCGTGGGCACATCACGGAATTTTCGGCGATTCCGTGAAACTGCCACGGATTTTGAGTTAAGGGTCCGTGTTCATTTCACGGAATTCTGTGAGACCAGGTTGATACTTTTAGATGTATCTGGTCTCCATTTTTTTGCCATCTTACCAGACTCAACTAAAACTTTAGAGCTCTGCCAGGCAGACATAACTTCAGAAAATCGTAAAATCAGCATTATTTACTTTACTTTTTATTTTTTATATTGTATAATGGAGATTTGCAAACACAATTGTCTCAGCTATAAGTATGATTCAGGCCATCCACCCAAAATGTACATTAAAATGTTGCTTGCGGATTCTAGACTATATTTTTGGTGACACATTGGGGTCAGGAAATTATATTCATGGCATCTCAAGGATTAGTATAAATGTTCGGATTTGATTTTTTTTCGTGGACAATACGATGTCAAAGCTTCCACACCCAGATCAAACATCTGATTCCTAGGGTCTTTACTCTGCCAAACCTCAAACCCTTTTTCACACTCCACTCTCAAACAGGATGTGGTATAGTCAAAGGGGTTTGTCTCGGTCTAGTGCTACAAAATGAGTAATTCCAGTAAAAGCATGAACGAATGTTCATCAGTTTCCTGTGTAAAATTAAAGATTTCATTAACTTTAGTATGTGTGCCATCTCATTCTGATAAATTCCCGCATTGGGAGTCAGGAAGCGGGAAGTGGTTGAATGGAAACACGACTCAAACTTACCATTACAAAAGATAGTGAAAAAACAATTAAGGGTATAAGAGAACATATTTCAGATTTAAAATTGCATGCATGCCGTAAATAAGAATCCATCCATCCATCCATAATAATGTTATGAATTTATGATATTTTATTATTAGACAAATGAAAGTCCAGTAAAACATAACATATTTTGTTTGTCTTTATTAAATAATATTATTCGTTTTTCCTTTAAAGTGATGTTTATTATTTTGTTTATCATCTAAACTTATGATTTTTTTGGATAAACTTTTTACTGGAGAATTGTTGCATACTTTTGCTAGTGGACATGTAGCTTTATCTCTGCAATATATTTGAATTTTGTGTTAATTTATTTGATTAATTTATGATTATTTTATTATTCTATAATATTAATTTATTATTAAATTAATAAAATAAAATATATAGTACTTTTTGATATATTGGAATTTATAAATTATTATTTTATACATTTTTATATTAGTGTTTGTATTTATAAATGTTTATATATATATATATATATATATATATATTAGTTAGTTCCCTTTATTTTTGCATTTAACTCTAAGTCTATCATCTCCAGTAAGATATGTCCAGGGGCCGGTTTCACAAAGCTATTTTAGACCAGTCTATAGTGTTAGACAAGTCTAAAAATTTGCTCATAGACTAGTCTAATGCAAGTTAGACTGTTTCACAAAAATAAAGACTGACTTAATTTAGACCAAAAAAATAAGACACCTTTCCTCCAGGCTAACTTAGGTCGAAGACTCTGCAACCAGAAGTAACAATCAGTTACATTACAAACAGCCGAAAGAAAAGGGAAAATGGACCTTTCCATATGAAACATTTCTTCTTGTTACTACATTCTCTGCTAAATATCCCAAGTAAAATGTCTTTGTAACTGTTATACTCCTCCAACAAACACATATTTTCCGCTGGGGTAAACTGCACTGAGCGGTTGAATGCGCTTACTCGATCCGCCAAGTTTTTTTTGTTTTGAAAAGTGTCTTATTTACCCAGAATGCATTACAGTGTAGTCCTACTTAAGATAATCAGAGTCTTTTGTGCAACGGTCTGATTTAGATGTCTATCTGAAGTCTGACTATCTACTATATCTAAGCCATAGTCAAAGTCTATCTTTTTGAAACCGGCCCCTGGTCTTTAATCTTTACGAATTATACAATCATTACCAATTATACAATATTATATAATAATTTTTAGCTATTGTTGTATTTCAACCATTGTACCATCATCAGTTTACTGCCTCAGGCCACCCAAGAGCATCATGCAGCTTCTCCCTTTCCTGAAGGTTTTGGACCACCACCAGTGGTCAGCTGACTGGCCTCCGCTCCTTTTATTTATGACTGAACTAAGTCATATCAATCCTGACATAAAGCACAAATAAATCTATGGTAGGTTTACTATTTCCATAGTGTGTGTGAATGCAGTTTTCAGTTTTCAGAGCCAGGCTGAGAAGCTCTCATAATAGAACTTCTGTTCATTAAGAAGCCATCCAGGGTTTGAATTGTATCTTTTTAGAGAACCAGCTGCTCCCTCTGAAGACTTGCTTGAAGTCTTCGCCGTGATTCTTCCCCATGAAAAACAAATTGTTCATCTGTACAGTCAAAACAGGATGTCAATCTGTTTCTTTTAATGATTTCTTTCTTTTTTTTTAGAATGACTTTTCAATGCTTGATTTGTATCCATGTGACCCAACAGAGATCTAAAGGTTGTTTCATATGACCTTTCAATAAATGAAAAACATTGCTTGGTTCTTTATTCCAAGAATGTCAGACCAAAGAGAAGCATGAGTGAAGCATTATGTGGCAGGATCTGCTCTGATGGTATTTCCTTGGGACAAAACCAGCCGAACAGGTAGGGACACAGGCTTTAGCTACACATGTGCTGTCAATTTAGGGCTCTAAACTAAAGTCAACAAAAACCGCTGAGGTAGGAGAGACCGGGGGAAATTTTTTCACATTTACCTTCATAACTCACAGATGGCAACCAATCTACCTGCCATCTTTTGGTATAGCAACAAGTGTGCCAACAATAATAATGCCATTAACATATTTACATTAAAAAAGATTCATAATATTAAAAATGTATTTAAAGAAAAATAACACTTGTATTCCCTAACTTCAGCCTTTATTTAATAACAAATACCCTATGACCATGAGCCATTATAAAATCTGTAATTTATGTATACCTTTTAAGAAACAAAAGATTACAAATAACTATTACTCCAAGGCAACCAATTGTAAGACAAGAGAGGGAAAATATAATCCATTTTAGACAAACTATATTTATAAAAATATATTATATTATGATTATTTGTTATTTTATAATATAATTTTAGCATTAGATAATTAAAAGTATATTTACATATTATATCGTATTTTATTTATTAATTAACTCGTAGGCTATTATTGTTTTTTTTTATATTTAAATTGTTTAAAATCATATTTAATTAATTTGGTACCTATAACCTCACAGTCATAATAAAATCAGTTATGTATGTAATTTATTTAACCAACAACCTACAGATAAAAAATAAAATACTGCTTTTATTTTAATAAT